GTAAGTACGTTTTCATTTAAAGGATTTGCCACTGATGATTCAAACGCGAGTTTTGGGCAGTGTAGAATAGCACTTGTTGTTTGTCATTTCTCTGATCACAAATGCAGACAGAGTTTTATGTTTACGCGGCACAATGCAATGCAACGCAACGCATAAAAAGACAGTATAAGTCATTATAATCAGTAATTATGTCCCCACTGGATGCAACAAATGCCTCGTTTGTAATGGGTTTTAATGTTTTTGTCTCGTCGCTCCGGCCGGACACGGCATCAACAGTATGGTGAGGGGCGTAACATTTCCGTCTCACGCTTGAGGTATTCGGCCAATCACAACGCACTGGATAGCTGGCCAATCAGAGCACACCTCGCTTTTCAGACCGATGAGCTTTGTAAAAATCGACGCGTTTCAAAAAGGCGGGGCATAGAGGAGAAACAATAATGTACAGTATGTGGAAAATAATGTGTTTTTTTGTACTTTAAACTGCATAAACACATTTCATTACACCAAATACACAAAATAATGTTCTTTTTAGCAACATCATATGACCCCTTTAATATTATTGGAGTATGTATGTGTATACATATATATAATGCATAGTAAATATTATTTGCATGATAATACTGTTGGAGTAGGAATAACTTGGAATATGACAACATGACATCTTATATGTTACAACAGCATATGTACTATTATTATACATCTCTACAGCTGTCAATGCACATTTGCTCAATATTAAGTATTTGTCATTGTACAAGTGATTTTAAAGTGCTCGTTACATAAACATATCAACTATTTGCATATTCTTTTTAATAAAAGTGAATAGATTTGAAGCCTTTTTCGAAGAGTGAGGATAAAAAACATATAACATAAGTACAAAAGGTATTGGATGACAAAAAGATAAGAGGCAAGCACTGCAAGTCAGATGAGTTGTGGGTATTTAGTCACTGGAGAAAGTGACTGGAGGGATGGAGACAGTATGGTGAGGTTACTGTAAGGAACTACGTTAAACTCCTCATGCAAAACACATTTATTAATGGTGTTTGTTAAGGAGGACATCACTATTTATAATGATACTGACAATTTCTATTTAAAGAATACTTAAGTGAAAATAAAGAGAGAACTGGAGCAGCAGTAGACGTGTCTCCTTACAGAAGCATAAGCACAAAGACTAAATGACTGAGCCGGAGCAGAGGAAAGCCGAGGCTGTGAATTATTCAGTGTGTCAGTGTGTAAGGTAACATAATATCCGTGTATAAAGCATGCCAAAGGGCACTGCTAAATCAGCAATGCTCATTTTCATTTCTACTCATGAAGCTAACCTTAAAGCAAGCATTTTATGACATTAAGTCTTAGAGTATAGTACAGGGGATTGACTGGTTGACAGAATTAACTCTCGTAATGCATCAGGTCTGATTTGACCTGGAAGAGAAAAAACCGTTACCAAAGTTTTTTACAATTATTTTTAAGAGATATAACAAAAACATTTTTTTAGAGACATTAAAATTTCGTGTTCGGGTCATTTTGGACCCATGTATGGAGTACCATTAGGTTTGAAAAATACTTTTTGTAAAATTATCTATGAAGATCTATTAGTGGCAAAAACTTTGGTAAAATATATTTAGCCATTTCTCCATATCTCTAGAAATAAATATGTAGGTTGAACCTTTTCTGATAAGAAGTGTGCGCTGCAAATGCGAGCATTTGTGACGATCGTTTCTGTCCAGTCTGCTTGTTTTATCACGTTTAACGTCATTTTTTTGTCTGGTAGTGGCAGCAG